GCACAATAAACTATACACCCTTCCTTTGGAAAGGACAATATAATATTACTCATACAATAATACACAAATAAAGCAAGTGAATAATAGAAGAAAAATGGAAGGTTAAAAAATAATTTAGATATTCATGATTATTTCAACAAACCAAATTGTCTAAACAGAACACCAAACGACCAAGTTACGACACTATATACAGCTCCAACATGAAAGAAGTTGCAGGAGAGGGAAAGTAAAAGAGACGGTAAATTAATGAATTGGCATTCAGATCTTAAAGAAAGAAAGCGGAGAAGTAACAAGTAGTTTAGAAACGAAAACCTAACAGAGTTATTATCTAAGAGAGACGATAAATACCTGCATAAGAAGATTGGGAAGGAGGCGTTGATCGATACCAGTGGAAGCCAGTGGAGAGGCCAGATGCTGCAAGCCGGCGGATTGTAACCAGCGCGCCATGACCGCGTCGCCTGCATCGGTAGCCGGCCCCGCCGCATTATGGAGAGATCCGGCGCCGGCGTGGTCATACAGAGCAGTGGCCGCTGCATTGCTCTGCTGCATCTGGCCACCCATGTGGCGCTGCGACCGTCTTTGGGGCGCCAATTTTCAAGATCTGTTTTGACAAACTTCGCAACAAACACATACGCCAGAATTCAAATTCGAAAACCGCCACAATAAGATATCACCGAAAAAAGAAAAGCATCAGGAACACTTACGAGAAGGAGAGAATTTGAATCCAAAGAAGAACATGAAAGTGTGAGTGAAAGGACGGAATTCAGAAATCAACGAAGCGTGGAATTCGAGTTAACGGAGTTATTGAGGAACGAAGAATGCAGCGGGCGAGGGAGTGGAGAATCGAGATCTGCGCTGCGAAATGGGGATTGGCAATGGCGGATTGTGATTCAGATCTGAAAGTGGTGGAAAATACGAAAACGAAACCCCTGAACGGTGGGGAAGCGTTGCTTCTAATGTTCTGTTAGATGTTGTTGTTGTGCGAGTGAAGAAAATGGAATGATGGCGGAAAAAGAGAGAGAAATTGAAGCGAGGATGAAAGAGTAGGCGTGGATGATGTGATATACTTCGACAAAAACAGAGGTATACGTCAATGAAAATTTACGGATAACAATCACATAATCAAATAGTCAAATATTATATAATATTATTTTCCAATATTATTAAAACGGCTACACGAAATCAATTTTTTTTTCATTAACACTAATGTATACTCCTCTTTTATACATTATACAAACATATTGAAAGTTTGAAATAAATCTGTTTCATGTTTGCATCTAAAAAGATGTGTCAAACAAGTTGACACCATATTCGATGAGACTTGAAAGCTGAGTTAAATATTTAAACCGAAATCCAAATATCCCAAATAGTAATAAAAAGTAAATTTAAGTTTAACTTATATATTTGATGATTTTATTTTTTTTAATTGGATTCAGAATGTTTTTTAAAAAAAATATTTTTCTGATTGAATAAAATTTTGAAATATTTTTTTTTATATTGCGATTAGTTCAGGTTGAGAAAAAAAAATTCCAAAAATAGTACATTATCGAGTAATATATTAATGTCAACGAACTAAAAAGTAATTCAATGCAAAAGGACAATAATAAATTAAGAAGGTCTTTTCACCTTTTCATATGTTTTTTTTTTCTTGTTTTAGTTATAAGCTTCTTCTTTTTTGTCGTTGTAATCCCTAAACTAAAGTGTATAAACTGCCTTTAAATTAGTTATTGCTGGTGTCAAAAAATAAAATGGTGATTTAAAATATGTTGCTCTGAAATATATTAAATGCGTATTTTAGTAATATTATTTAGAATTTCATACATTCTATTTTTACACAGTTTTAGTAAAAGAAAGTATATACGAATATTGTCTTAAAGCAGAAATATGTGAGGTTAGNAGTTTATAATTATAATATTGAGCACCACATATAATCTATAATCATTATGATACATTTGAAGTAATTCAAAGATAAAGAAATAGTTTTCCAATTCACAATTTGAATCTCGATTTGATAACTTCATTCAGACATTCAAACCTATGACTATTGCCTAAATAATTCTGCTTATATAACCAAGATTTTTCACCATCGCCAAACAAAAAGTTGCATTACACCTTAATAAAAATTTGTTAAACTTATCATGAAAATTAATAGTGATGATATTAGGTTAATATTCGTACATGGAAGACAACTTTACACATAAAAAATATTATCCCAGCAAATGTGTAGAAAAGGAATCAAACTGCAGTTAGCTTGTTTAACCGAATGAACTGGAAACCACCATATGGTGAATCGTACCTCGGACAAAAGCTCTGTATCATCCATAGCGTGAAGATCCAGAAGCCCGGCTCCAAAATCTCCCCTGAAGTCTGGAGAATAAAACCCATCTGATACCGTCGCTCCACTTAAATTTTGGGAAGTGGGCGTATATGGCTCAGAACCAGATTCCCCGTTAAAATTGAGGTTTCTCATTAACTTAAAAAGCCTCTGCTTTTCTTCTGCAGACTGCGCTCCATAACCCTACGGCAATATCATGTTCACTTAGTCATCTCATAGAGTACCATCATAAGCAACAATACGAAAAACAAACAACATTTAGCCTGTTCAAGTTCAACCGTAGGCAATGTAAGTTTCTAAAAAATATATAGAACAGAGGTACACGCTAATTATCCCACAAAAACACAGGACTGTTCAAAAACTTCAAATAGGAATGATAGTCAGGTGTTTAAAAAATTTTAACACAAAAATGCATTCTAAACCCTAAAGGTACTATGAATTTGGGATAAGCACAATAAACTATACACCCTTCCTTTGGAAAGGACAATATAATATTACTCATACAATAATACACAAATAAAGCAAGTGAATAATAGAAGAAAAATGGAAGGTTAAAAAATAATTTAGATATTCATGATTATTTCAACAAACCAAATTGTCTAAACAGAACACCAAACGACCAAGTTACGACACTATATACAGCTCCAACATGAAAGAAGTTGCAGGAGAGGGAAAGTAAAAGAGACGGTAAATTAATGAATTGGCATTCAGATCTTAAAGAAAGAAAGCGGAGAAGTAACAAGTAGTTTAGAAACGAAAACCTAACAGAGTTATTATCTAAGAGAGACGATAAATACCTGCATAAGAAGATTGGGAAGGAGGCGTTGATCGATACCAGTGGAAGCCAGTGGAGAGGCCAGATGCTGCAAGCCGGCGGATTGTAACCAGCGCGCCATGACCGCGTCGCCGGCATCGGTAGCCGGCCCCGCCGCATTATGGAGAGATCCGGCGCCGGCGTGGTCATACAGAGCAGTGGCCGCTGCATTGCTCTGCTGCATCTGGCCACCCATGTGGCGCTGCGACCGTCTTTGGGGCGCCAATTTTCAAGATCTGTTTTGACAAACTTCGCAACAAACACATACGCCAGAATTCAAATTCGAAAACCGCCACAATAAGATATCACCGAAAAAAGAAAAGCATCAGGAACACTTACGAGAAGGAGAGAATTTGAATCCAAAGAAGAACATGAAAGTGTGAGTGAAAGGACGGAATTCAGAAATCAACGAAGCGTGGAATTCGAGTGAACGGAGTTATTGAGGAACGAAGAATGCAGCGGGCGAGGGAGTGGAGAATCGAGATCTGCGCTGCGAAATGGGGATTGGCAATGGCGGATTGTGATTCAGATCTGAAAGTGGTGGAAAATACGAAAACGAAACCCCTGAACGGTGGGGAAGCGTTGCTTCTAATGTTCTGTTAGATGTTGTTGTTGTGCGAGTGAAGAAAATGGAATGATGGCGGAAAAAGAGAGAGAAATTGAAGCGAGGATGAAAGAGTAGGCGTGGATGATGTGATATACTTCGACAAAAACAGAGGTATACGTCAATGAAAATTTACGGATAACAATCACATAATCAAATAGTCAAATATTATATAATATTATTTTCCAATATTATTAAAACGGCTACACGAAATCAATTTTTTTTTCATTAACACTAATGTATACTCCTCTTTTATACATTATACAAACATATTGAAAGTTTGAAATAAATCTGTTTCATGTTTGCATCTAAAAAGATGTGTCAAACAAGTTGACACCATATTCGATGAGACTTGAAAGCTGAGTTAAATATTTAAACCGAAATCCAAATATCCCAAATAGTAATAAAAAGTAAATTTAAGTTTAACTTATATATTTGATGATTTTATTTTTTTTAATTGGATTCAGAATGTTTTTTAAAAAAAATATTTTTCTGATTGAATAAAATTTTGAAATATTTTTTTTTATATTGCGATTAGTTCAGGTTGAGAAAAAAAAATTCCAAAAATAGTACATTATCGAGTAATATATTAATGTCAACGAACTAAAAAGTAATTCAATGCAAAAGGACAATAATAAATTAAGAAGGTCTTTTCACCTTTTCATATGTTTTTTTTTTCTTGTTTTAGTTATAAGCTTCTTCTTTTTTGTCGTTGTAATCCCTAAACTAAAGTGTATAAACTGCCTTTAAATTAGTTATTGCTGGTGTCAAAAAATAAAATGGTGATTTAAAATATGTTGCTCTGAAATATATTAAATGCGTATTTTAGTAATATTATTTAGAATTTCATACATTCTATTTTTACACAGTTTTAGTAAAAGAAAGTATATACGAATATTGTCTTAAAGCAGAAATATGTGAGGTTAGGTTGATGCCAATTGGCAAACACGTGGCTCATAATGAATGGGTAAAGCTGAAAGGAACAAAAATTGCACATGCGTTAGTATTAGACATCCTGAATCAATTAACTCAAAAAAAAAAACAGAGAAAATGGCATTTTGGAGTGTTTCTTTATACTGAATTTTTCATCCAAAATATCTATATAAAATATGTTATGTGGCTTGTTATAAAACGACTACTTATTAAAAATTAAAAAATTATATGACATTTCTTTTATGACACTCTTGGATAATTTAAAATATTTTAAAAAATATTTTTGTACAATACGATTCAAATTTTCCACTTATGAGATGATTATGAGATAAGACAAATGTTAACATTCTCTTAATCACATGGTTAAACTTTTACAAACTTTTGTTAAACACGATATCTAAAGGCGTTAGTATATATTTGATTAAGTAAAATCATTATGGTAACCTAAATTACTATACTAACAATATAAATCAACAACAACTAGATATAATTAATTAGGCCTTAAAAGCTTAATATGTATGAGAGGTAAGTATTATGTTAACTTTTATAACCTTTATTACCATTAAAAAAATGGATAACAATCAAGAAAAAAAATACAGATAAATTATTAAAGGAATTCAATAATTACAAAGATCATCTTATTCTAATAATAACACATCTATTCTTTGAGTTTTTTTCTCTTTGAAAATGTTTGAATTTTAAATATCTCTATCTCAAATTACCTAATATAGTGACAAATTAAATTTTTTAACCATTGTACGATGGACAAAAAGACCCACAACCTATTTCAAAATACTATGATTAACACAGAGCTTGTTGCATTGCTAATTAATTAACTACACACGATAATTAATAAATGCCACAACCAACACGAGTTTCCTTTGTGTGGGTACTTTACCTTCATTAATATAACTTTATTTTGTAATAAAACATGTGTGGCTATTTCTAGCATGGAAACTGTATTTTCTAAATTTTGATTCAATTTCAAGAGATAAAAAAAAAAGTGTGAAAATGGTGGTTTTGGCCTCATTGTGAAGTAGGGTTATTTCTTAAACAAAAATCGAAAACCCTTTTGAAATGATAGCAAACATGGCATATCTTGGGGTTCACTTCTTAAGTATTTGCTTTGGCATGAAGCATGATAGATTAATTAGCAAAATTAATTTTGTTAGATATAAATAAAGTTTTATATCAGATAAAATAAGAGATAAATATGAGTTTATATACATATAAAATATTTTCATTGACAAAAAATCTTTTAAAATGGTACCAAAAACAAAAACAGATAATATGTTATCAATGTTAAACCTCCGTATAAATTTGACTAAAGCTTAATCTTTTTGTTTTCTTGTTTTTAATTTCACCAAAGTAGGTCTACCATCTTTTCTAAACACATACGTCCAATTTGAGTATGTTTCAATAATTGAAGTTGATAACATGACTCTCTTTTACGTCTTTTTCAGACGCATATCTTACGTTTTTTTCTATTTCACGTGACTTTCTTAATAACCTTGTCTCACTGTCACGTTAATAATTCACTGGATGTTATTCATTCCATTAATGACTTGAAAAGGATCATACCATTATCTTTTTTAGCTTGTTAACACGTCTTGTCTGGAATATATGTAAGCCACCAAATATACCACCAAAAAAATGTAAAATTATTAAAATTTATATTAATAAATTTAATTATATATTTAAAAATACATAATGTACGACATAATAAATAAGCTTTCATTACTAATTCTAGCGATCAGAAATTAATAGAGGTGTGTACTTTGTTTTATAAGAAGCGTACGAGCTTCATAGAAAAGAAAATTAAAACCACTCCATAGAACAACAACAAATAAATATAAAAACATACATACAAATTTAATGAAACTATAAAAGACTGATCAAATAATTTAAACATTTTTTGTTTATATTTTAACGCTTACAGTTCATATTTATAAACTATTTTATTTGAACAGAATAAATTAAGGACATTTTAAACAAAGATCGAATGCATATTTATACTTTTATGCTCAGAAATAAATTTCCTTCTTAGGTTTAGAGATGATAAAGTAATTAGCAACATGCCTAATCCGTCATGTTTTATCGATTTAATTTACGTCCTTAAATTCACCAATCTTCCAAATCTATTTTACATATCTTGTCCTGCATTAAATATTACTATATTTTTCGTATTTATGTTATCCTTTTTCAACAATTATTTCACGAAGCTTTACAAAATTAACATAAAATTCATTTCTTACAATTTTTTCTATACAAAATATAAAGAGAAAATTATGGAAAAATTTTCTAATAACAAAATGACAATTCTGTCCGTTGATTTTTTTTATTATCTTTATTTCATTTTCATTTTCATTTTATCTTATAGTTGTCTTTTTCATTTTCATTTTATCTTGTTATTTAGTGTGAGAAGAGAAATCATAGGAGAATTTATCTTAAGAAGTCTCGCATTAGTAAAAACTTATCTTGGATTTTTTTTTTTGTATAAAAGGAGATTAATGTTTTCTTAATTATGATCACATCTCAAAATACCTTCCGTTTATTTTTTATTTTTTGCTTTGTTGTTTGAAATAAAAACTAAGAGAGAAGACTAAGGTTAAATTTTCCTTGTATTTATTTTTTCTATTTTCAAAAGAGATGTTATTATTTGTTTTCTTCTTGGAACTAGAGAGAATGTATATAATTTTCTTTATTTTAATAAAATTACATTCTTTGTCTTGTTTTATTCCTTCTATTTTAATTTTTTATTTTAATTGTGAGTATTTGTTATTTTGATTCCCAAAATCTAGAAGAATAACACATAATAAAATCATACTACCTTCAAATAATAATTATCCCACCTAATAAAATTATTAATTTGCAAATCAATTATTCTATATATAAATTGATAGTATTATATGAATAGTTCACTTTAAAACGTATTTATATTTAGAGTCTTATATGGTCTATCAAAGAGAAATTTATCTAATAAAAGAATTTCAAAGAAGAAAGATACTAATAAGAAAAAAATAAAAAAAGAAGATGGAATGTGTGTGGGTCTAGGGGTTAAGCTTTAGTTTGAAAGAAGATGAATTAATAATAAAATTAAAGGCAATACGTCAACTTTGATTGTGTTGATTGATTCAGTGTCAAACCTTGCATTCCAACAGTTTCTAATATGTAATCACCAAATAAACTCCTCTGTTCCTCCAAAAATATATATATCAGTTATAATACATATAACAGTTTTCACATCAGATTTTAAATTTAGTATATAAAATACATGTTTACGATATAATATATAATTATTTTCACTTATTTTCATTGTTTCATTATTGTCTTTAAATATTTTATTTGTAAGAGTCTCTTGTCGGATTCTATGCTTACGTATAAAAATTATATAAATTATATGATAATTGTAGGTAAAAATTATATTCACAAAAATACACATTTAGTGAATATTGTCTATAATTCCAACAATAAAATATTTAACAATTTCAGTCAATATCTAACATATTATACAATTTTCGTAACATACAAAATCAATAAAACAATTAATTTTATTTCATCCATAATATTTATCATACACCCTTGGATTAACAATTCAACATCAACCATCAAATATTTATATAATACAGTCCTCATGACTCAATACTCATAAATCATTAGAGAGAGTGGGAGAGACCTCTAACAATTCCAACAATTAAAATAAAGAAATACGTTACAAATTATGTATATAAATTTCAGCTCGATCCAATGATCAACTAGGTAGAAAAAAAGTGTTTTATCGTAATTATGCAAAACAAAACATAAACAAAGTGACATTTATATTTCTCTCCAAATTGAAAAAAGTTATTTCTCTAACCCATGCCTCTAATTATCAATCATTGCAATCAGATTGAACAAATATGTGTTATAGACTATGTATAAAAATTCTAATCTCATCCAACGGTTAAAAGTTAAAAAATTGATTTTATCAAAATCACATACATTCCAATATTTAAGATCTCATTTTATTAATTCATCAGGTTTACTCAAAACAAGTTTTATTATCATAATTTTTATCAAAATAACTCATAACTTCAAATAATTAAAATATTGTATTATAAATAAATAATATATCAATTTACACTAAAATAATTTACAAAATATTGACTAAGAGAATATATATATATATATATATATATACAAATATCAAAGATATAAGAAAATACCAAATAAATCCAAACACGTAGCAAATAATATATCTAACTTCCCTTACTTTCAAAATTATCTAACTTTACCCTTAATCAATTTTTATAACAGCATATAATATTAATATCACTTAATAACCAAGCAATTATCATAAATTCCAATAACCATACCATTCAATTTAATTTATTAATTTAAAGAAAATAGGTTATTATAAATAAGCTAACTGTCAATATTTTAAAATAATTTTTCCAAGTTAAAACTTCATACTTATTTCTAAACTATTTTAAATGTTTTCTCAAACTATTTTGAATTTTAATCTATTCAGAATGTTTTTTATTTTCTTAATTTCAACTTGATGTAACAAGATTTTTAATTGAAGAAGAAAAAAAATGAAATCAAAAGAGAAAACGAAAATGTATTTGGTTTGTGTGAAAGAATTTTATAATGAGAAAAAAAACTTTTCCTGTTAGCCTTACTTCTGATTACCATTTATATTATATTAATTTATTATTATATGTTTACTATATTAATGATGAGAAAAAAATAATCATTTTATTACATTATATATTTTTTTTCTATGTATTAAGACAATCATGCTCATTCACAGATATACAAATGGATAATAAAAACGAATAACAATAAAGACATATTATATAATCACAGACATGATACTTTCTAATCATAATATGTACCAATAATAACTAAAAACTTGTTTTAGATAGCTTGCTTACAAAATTTTAGAATATTTTGCAAAATAACCCTCTGTAAAAATTATTCTAAACAATGGTAAATAATTTTTTTATTAATATGTTCCAATTGAGTGAATTAACAATAAACAACAATTTTTTGGTATTTATTCACAAATACAAATAACCAGTATTTTATTAGGGTAATTCAAGATTAATAAAACCTGAATCATATTTATATAAATATTTTTAACTCAAACATAAAATAACGAAATTATAATTTTTTTCTAATATATTACTCGATTTTCTTATATTATTTCTTTTTAACGTGGGATGGGAAGTCAAATCGAAATCTTATTAGACATTTTGAGTTAGAAAGTTTAACAGGTAAAAGAAGAATTAATAAATTAAACAAAAGGTCTGCTACATCCATAAAGAAAAAAAAATAAAAAATTCCGTGTGTAGCTATGTGGCTTAGCACTTCATCTCCTGGAGAGCATATGCAAAGTACAGAAACGTGGGATCAGTGGCACCATCCTTATAATAAGCAAACACCAAGCTGCCATCATCATGCATACTCTCTCCAACAAAGCTGCAAATTTAATAAAAGCTTTTCGTTAATCAACATGATTTTAACAATTACAACCAAAAAAATCATATAACAAGAGTGACACTTACAACTGAAGATCCTTAATCTTGGAGAGCAGGAATTTAGTTGCTCCTTCAATGTGTTTTTTGAACAGTTTTTGTTTCTCCTCGTCAAGTTTTTGGATCAGCAGCTTAATATACCTCTTCATGAACACAAGAAACTGCTTCTTGTCAAAACCAGGTTGCTCCTGCAAAACATTAATACTACAAATTTAATCCATGAAAATACTAAAACTCAAACAATAATTGGGGAAAAATATATGATTCTCGAAACCTGAAGTCTGAATGTGTCAACAATATCAACAACTTTGGTAGCTTGATCGTCAACACCTTCATCTTCCACACCTTCGGCAGAAGGATTTGCGCCAATGTCGACTTCAATCGCTCCTTGAACAACCCACTGCAAACCCAAAAAGAAAATGTCTTATAAATATACAAACCATGAGGACTATATAAGTAATTTATAATATTTGAACTTACCTTTCCAGAAACTTCCCACAACATTCCATTCTCAATTTCTCTGTAGGGGAAGGAGTCCGAGAGAAGTTCGTCACCTACACAACACCATACAAACAAAACAGTGAGAAAATCATGGCTACAGATTCTGAATAGTGTAAATTTCATGCAATTTCTATCAATGTTCAAAAACATAATAACAAACGAGATGTAATAATAAACTGATGATTTTTTTAGAATATTGAAAATAGCAAATACATACCTGTGAGGAAGTCCTTGTAAACCAACATATTTGCAGAGATTTTCTCTGAGATCGTTTGGAAGAGAAGGTTTTTGCTCGGAAGGACGAGAGAGTTTGGAATTAGTTTGAACACTCTGATGCGAAGGCGCAGAGGTCTATTTATAGGGAGAGGTTTTTGAAGGAAGTAAACAAAATTTTCTATCTGTTCCTTGTTGATATAAATATGATATTATCTAATGATTTTGTTTTAAATCTTTTATGATTTATCTCTTAAAAATTATTCTCTTAAATTAAAAGATAAATTTAGATTGCAGTGATATAAACTAGAATATAGTTTAGACAATAAATTAAGTATTCAACTCATTTTCACTAATTGTTGGATTTTTTTTTTGTATAAATATTTTTTTCTTAAATAACATTTTTTTTAATATTTTATTGAGTATTTAGTTTCTTTATTTTATACTATAATATTTCAATTTATTGTCTTCTATCTATATCCGCAAATAGAATTTTAACATAACAATTTGTTTAAAGAAGAAATTAAAGATTAGTGTATTTCATTCGAGAAAAAAAAAACTTATTTAATATTGATTAAAAAAATATTCACCTCAATGTTAACTGATAAAATTCTGATTAATGTCACTTTATAAATAATCTTAATTAATATTATAGTAAAAAAAATAAATTTGATTAATGGATGTTGAAAAGTAATTCTAAATAAAAGAACATTAAAGACATTTTTTTTTCTTAAAGAAAAGAAAAAAATTTAAAAAAGAACATTAAAATCAAAAATTAAAAATAAAAGAAGAAAAAATTAATTTAAAATTTTACATTAAATTTTAATTTTTTTAAAAGAAAAGAAAAGAAAAAATGATTTGAGAATGAATAAATCAGTTTCATAATATTAATTGGGTACTATAATTTAGAATGAAATTTGTTATTATTATAATGATTGATAAAAAAGATGAGTGAGAATGAAAAGATAAACTTAAAATTTTATAATATTATTATTATTATTGTTTTTTAAAAATTCAATAACAATAAATTTTCAAATTACATTAAAAAAATCATAAATAATTTTTTTATTTTATAAGTAATTGTAATTTAAACCGGACATTTTTAATTAATTTTTTTAAATTATTTTCTTTATAATTTAATTTTAAGTTTTTATTTTTCCTTTTCATTTTAAAAAAATTAAAAACAAAAGAAAACAATATTATAAAGCTCTTATAAAGTAAATAACTCCGTATCGATATGCATATTAAGTATGAGACTTGACAGTAATAATGGTTTGATAATATTAATAGTAACAACAAATAATAAATTTCATAAATAGACTTTAAATTTGATTTCACATTAAGAAATTAGCTTTAAATATACCTCAATCTAAAAAATTCGGTTTTTGACTTGAGATTTGCACTTATAATTTAATCTTATTTTTAATTCATATGAAACTTATAATATACGTCAAGCATATATAATGTAATATTGAACATTAATAATTTGTAAATAATAATGTAATACTAAGTTTATTTAAGATGTTTTTTTCTTAAAAAATATTATTGAAAAAAATTGATATTGGAATATATATATATATATATATCCAAAATCAGAAATATAGTTACTTTTCTTAAATAATATTAAATATTTTAATAAAAATGCATTACTGTTTTATTTTTGAAAAACTTATACAAATATTGCTAACAATATATTTTACTAACAAAATAAAACTTAATTATTTGCATAAAATCGTAACTTCCAGTAGTTATGATTTGCAAATACTATAAAGTTAGATTCAACCAAACGTCCATTAAGTTTTCACCCTTCCTGCAACAAAAAGGAATATAGTACTACAAAAAACGAATATAAATAAAATAAAATAATTTCCAGGTAAACCCAAAATCTAAATCAAATATATCATATTACTTAAAATAGACAAATTTCAATTAATAATAATAATAAGATGTTATCATTTAAAACAAAATTAAATATGTTTTTAGTTCTTAAATTTTAATATAAAATTAAAATTAATTTGTTAAAAACTTTGAAATATTTTAATTTTCAAATTTTAAAAATAAAGGAATATAATTCTTCTAATTTATTTTCCTTAAAACGTAAACAAGTCAAATATTTAACATGAAACATTATATATAAATAAGTTAAATACTAATATAAAACGTATAACACTTAAATTTTTTTAGTAATAATTAATTTTTTAAAAAATATATTCATTAATTTTTAAAAATAGGAAACCAAGACGTATCAGCGTCAAAATTCGAGAACTCAAAACACATAATCTTTTAAAGTAAAAAATATAAAATACAATATAAAAATAAAATATTACATAAAAAAAGTTTAATATAAATTTAAATGTTTTTGGTATCTCTAACTTAAAATAAATTTATTTTTATTCTTTAAAAGGTAGTTCTGTCAATTATATACTCCGAATTTTTCTTCACGTGATTAAAAATTACACATTATTTATGACAACATATTCGATTTTATCACTAAATATCCAAACATGTTTAATTTTCCTCCCAACTTATTCATTTGAAGAGAATCCGAGGACAGAAAATAATCTTTTTTCTCCGAGGTGCATAAACTAAAACATCATTTTAAAATTTGAAGGCTGAAAATTAAACTGAGACTAAATATATATTTAAACAACTAATATAAGTGACGATATTATGCTTTAAAAAATAATTTATACATATCTGTAAATCTTATTAAATGTTTATCTGAAAAATACTTGTACTAAACTTAAAAGACCGGTAAATTTTAGAATTAATGGCTCAATGCCGGGGCCGAAGTGATGATCACAAGGCCGAAGAAAAGACCTGTTGTTTAATTATTTTCAGAACTGCGTTCTCTGCGTGTAAACTGAATTTTATTAAATATTAGGAAAAGTTAATGTACAGATAAAAAATCTCTTTCAAAATTTGTCTTAAATAGCCTTCATTATATTCAACAATTTTCTTTCTTTTATATGATAAGAAGAAAATAAGGGATAAAACCATCAATTCAGATACTAAATCTAAATTGAAATTGAATTCACTATACCGAAGATTTTGAAATTGAATCAGTTTTACTTTAAACAGATTTCTGAAAAAGAAAAGAAAAAGAAAAATATATATACTTAATAAATAAAGTCTAATTCCTAAAATTAGTTGTTCTAAACATATTCTAAATAACATTGCTTCACATAAAATGAGAGTAAGTCATAATCAAAACCAAAGTAATGCCCCGTTTTCTTCACTGCTCTTAATTCGCCAGATACGAGGGCTCTGCATCACCGCACAAACAAGTTCAAAATTCAGTAGAAAAGGACGCAAATAGTAACTAGACACCAAAAACGGTGAGGGAACACAGTTATCATTACATAATTAAAATCACGACCTTCTAACGCATCTATGATTCACCTTTGCGTAGCATATACAACCTAATGCATACTACACTACCTAATGGTGTACCTGGATATCAGGACGATGTGCATAATAAGTCCAGTCCACAATCTAACAAAAGCCAGAACTTTTGAATGGTTATGGCCAAGATAGTGACAGCAGGAGTGAAGGATACTTCATCAGAAAGTCATCAACTGATTTGACGTAATGACTGTTTCAGTTTTCTGACGAGTAAAATCCATTGGGGAAATACAGATAAAACATTCTTTAGCTCAGTCAGCTCTTAATCTCAAGATTTCCTTAGCTGTTCTGCGCCGGAAGTACGACATGTGTTCCTACCATTAGAATTATGGGAAGATGAATTCAATTCAGAAACCACATGAAAAAAATAGTTACAAAAAAACGCCTTCCTCAGTCAGTATATGGAGGCCTAACTTAAAGAGTAATTCGTTAGTTCATTTTAGAATGTTCCGTTGGGCTAGGAAACTTGGGTATTAAAACAGCTATTGGTCACACCATAGACAACATACAATTTTTAATCTTAAAAAGAAACTTCAAGTAATTTAGAAGATTTGAAAGTTGAAATGTTCTATTATGCAAAACTCTAGGCAGCAACGCAATATATCCTTTATAACAGTAAGAAAGTATTCCTTATCAAACAGGTGAGTGAAATGACTTACCAAATAAATCCATGGCTTCAGGAAAAAAAAAATTCAATGCTATAAAATGAACAGAAAACAAAGGCATGATTTTCTTACAGAAATAGAAAAGTATAATATCCAACCTGGTTGAAACACAGCTCCAAGTTTCTGCTATAGAAGTCAGCGTATTTGATCATAAAAACCCCACAATCATACCTGTTTAAATATTAAGTAGCATTTAGAAAACAATTCGCCCACAAACTACAGGAAATACTGTTCAGAGCTACAAAAGAATAGAATGAAAAGTGAGATTGTATTCGTAAAGTATTGACGTCTAAAAAATTTCTTATTTTAAGTCCTACCAAGCTCGCAGTTAAAGAAATTCTTTCCAATAGAGTGTAATAGAAGAACTTGGTTAGACTATTAAGAAAGTCTTTATCCAATGCTAAATAAACACCAATTTCTTAAAATAATCAAAATTTGTGATCTACATTTATATTGGGCAATTGACATGCCATCAAACTCTGGTGAACAAAAATCATACACAGTAATAAAACCACGACAAATGATCAGCATGACTACCTTCAGAGAAGAAAGAAAATTAAAACTTCCTGTAGTGAGCCCTTAGGACTAATTAATCCATACAAAGTCTTGATGATAAATAATAAACAAATTAATTGACAAAGAGTCAAAAAATAGATCTTCCGGTAAATTCAAAATTTATGGTCGATGCATAAAATCTATTTATGGTGAGTTTTCTTATAACCAATCAATGACAAGACAAACATTTATCCCTTTCATTTCCAGAGTAATTCCCTTTTCGAATATATTATATCTATACAATGATATTTCATTTTGAATCTAGAAATTGAAAGAATATATTAATTATATAAGGAAATCTGACCCAATAAGATATATATAATTCATCAGCAGTGGGAATTTACCACCGATTATTTTTTATTACAGAAGATATTTCTTCATTCTTATAGGGGGGAATGCTCAACTAATGATCTATTAAATGAATTGCAAAAGATAAGAAAACAAACCCATTCTGCTGCTCAGGAAGGTCTTCAACAAATTCTTTTTCCCAAGAACTTACATCAATATCTTTTCCAGTCTTGTCCTTTACTTCATCTACAATATAGCTAGCCTGGTAGACATCAATGATAAATATCAGAAATTGCCACACATAAATGCTAAGAAATCTACATATTTTCCCCGAGTTCCCATCTAATCAAGCCCTGTGAGGAACACGGACTTGTTCCCTAACGGTATTGTGAGTGATGACATAAATATATTTCTTCTAACCTTGAAAATGTTGTCTCAATAACTAAACGTCTAAAAACATTATACAATCCAGAGTCACACTCACGCACCTCATCAAAGCCAAATTCATTTTTTTTGTGTATCATATATTGAAGATCTCATGTTACCTAAAACTAGCTTATATCCAACATATTGAAGATCTCATGTTACCTAAAACTAATAAGATCATAAACACAACTAACGCAAAAAGTATATTGACAATATATGCAGAATGTCTAAATCCGTTGTCCAAAAGTTTAATGTTCAAATTCAAATACCAAGTCAACTTTCCGGCACACACATATTGGGGCCCTAATTATCGTTTGTTTTATAATTAGGTGGTTATTCCATTCCATATAGCTCTTGGTTGATTATATATATGTTGTAGGCTGCCTGAAATTACACTCTAGGCATTCAATGATTTGTTTTATCTATTTCCCTTTTTATCAATTTTGATTGTTTTGCTTCCTCAATCCTCATCCACCTAAATTTATTTTTAATGACCGGATTGAGGCATAACAGACACATGCATAATCTCTTGACATCACCACATGGCCTGGACAAACAAGATGTTCAACCCATCAAATTGAATTCTACGCATCATACCTAAGTTTTCTTAAATAACCTGGTATCAGCACTGTGAACAAATTTTTTAAGCCCTTTTGTCCCTCTGCACTTAGATAATTTTTTATTTTGGAATTTTGTAGTGAACTGAAATTAAAACAAGATTCTGGGAAGGTTCTAATTCAATTGAGAGCAATCCAAGTGCATCTTCATCTATTAAAAGTAGAAGTGAAAATGCTCCCAGGAACATTTATATTAATTGTAATGGGAAAAAAGTTAATGTAATTATTGCTCAAAGATTATGAGTAGAGGAATATTTAGATTCAAACATCATCTTGCCGGAAGTAGGGAGGAACCTTGTGTTTCTTTTTCTGATGAAATAAAAAATTTGATGATCAAAATAGTTGCAGAAGCTAAAGAAGCTTCGTTAAAGATGGTGATGGAGATGATGATGTCATTAGAGGATTAGACATAAACACTTGACATTTGAATTTATGTTTTACAATATTTGCATGAACTTATTTATTTCAAGTACTTTTAAGTTATATAATTTTGTGGACTTAATTAAATTAGGATGTTATTCATATAATTTTCGTTTTCATGTGAAGTAAACTCTTATAAGTTTAAGAGTCAAGTTTACTGGACTATCACAAGTTTATGCAAACTCTCGAATTTGACAACCTTGATTAAAAGTGTTAATGATTCTTGATTGACACCAACTCGCTGTCATCACTTCCAAAATATCCTTTTACAAGCAATAGGCAGATAGGAACACCAAACTTACAGTTAAACTTACCAGAACTTTCATCACATGGGTATCTACTCCTTTCAGTGAATCCAAGTACTGAAATTTCTTCTCTTTCTTATTGATAACAGCCAAGCACCAATGGATCTCTTTATGGATAGGAACAAAAATCTACAAAAAACAAATAAGGTAAAAGGTCAGCATAAAAACCAATTTTGATGATTATAGACGGGAAAATTTAATAATTCCTTCAATATAATTACTTTATCACATTCATGTAGACCATATCCCAGTTTCTTTTGGCTGGTCCATCTCCTCACAGATTTGAAATCATAACCATTCTTGCCACTTATTAACTGGTAAGTAGAATTCAGAAATAAAAACGTCAATGACAGATCAATATGACTAAATTGCAGATAAAACAAAAGATATAACATGCATGATGTTTCTATTTCTCCTGTTTATGGCATGGATAGGGGAGTCTTGTTTATAATATTGATATTGGTTTTTGTTAAAGATATTATTTGATTACATTAAATAGGGAGATATGATATGATTTGAGAAGGAAATATCTTACCAAATATTTCTCATTGTAGATATTAATTTTGTTCCTTATTATTGTAACTTTTCTTCTTTATAAATAAGAATACTCATGTATCTACTCAACACAAGGGATTCATTATATTCCTCGATTTCTCTCTTCTAACATGTTACCAGAGTACTACCATCCTCCATAACTTATTTTGTCACTAATTCTTTCACCAGTTTGTATCCAACTCGTAGATTCAACCACACACCCAACCCCAAAAAAACCACCAGGTTAATCCGAACTGGTAGAACCGTAGGGTAATAAAAAAATTTTAAACAACCATGGCAAAAACTCTGCCTATGTATCATCACATAGTCAGTCCCATGCGCAGATAAAGGATTTGAGTCAAGCAGTTGACAACCAACATAACTTTATTGACAGTGAATTTGTCTTCGTCTCTTTTATATGTAAATATGTTATGTTTTATTATTGATCATGAATCTTATGACTCGTGATTCGGAAAATGGGCTTTCAGGTTCACAATTTGTATCCGTATTAAACTATTGTGTTTCCAATGGAAAACATTTTAAGACATTCTTAGAAACCTTTTTCATTACTTTTACTTTCCATGGAAGAAATGAGCCCCAAAATAAATCTACAAAACATGCCCTGGAGGATTAAAATAAAGCACAGTCGAAAGATACATGTGTTTGCAAGCATTATTCAGTTTATATGGATAGTAGAAGCCTACTACCTTCTTGTAGAAAAAGGTATTGAAAAAATGACAGTTCAGAAACTTCTGGGGCTCTCTTCTCTCCCTTTCTTTTAGCAATTCAAGGTACAAATTTATTACCTGGAAATGTAAAGGTATAAGATCACTGAATTTCAAATCATTGACATTGATATTTTAAGTCAGATATTAACTTTCTTCTCTTCTACAACAATTCAACATAGTTTAAAGAAACAATAAGAAAACAAGGTAACCTCGTCATTTAACCATGCACCCGGTCTAAGGCATTGAAATTTTTCTCGTGAGACCTCAATGCAAGATTTCTCATGGGCAACCAAGATCTTCCTCCTGTAAAAGTAGGCCCTCAATAAGATAAGGTACAGCTTAAGCCTTTGTCAATTGCTTATAGCAAAAAATTCAAAAAATACCTGTTGGCAGAAAAGGCACGTGTAACCTCAACTTCTTCCTCTTCAGTAAGAGGAATAAAAGGTTCAAATGGCACTTCCTGAAAGCCATATTAAGTTTTTATCAACTGCACTAACATTTACAGTTTCGTATGGCTTAATAACATAGTGGCACATTTCAATACATCATTCATAAATTCATAAATGTTGAACAAAACAAAAGAGGAAAGCATACACCTAAGCAATAATTAAAGCCTCAGGCAAAATATAGAAACACAGGGCAGTTAACAAGTCTTTACCTGTACTAGTTCCTTCTTCGGGCGCAACAATTCAAATGTGGATCTACGCTTCTCGTTAAGCTTAATTTCAGCCGACAGCCTCTTAAGCGTATCCGAGCGCTTGTCAACAGCCTCAAGCAACTTCTTGTAAGCATGAACATCCGAAAGATCACGCTCGGGAGTTAAAGACAGAGTGCCGAACATCTTCACAGCATTAACAACATTCAAATCGCCGTTAGTCAACTCCGAAACCACAGATGAAGTTGACAGCTGCTGAGGACCGCCACGCACATCCTTAGCTTTCAAATCCTTCACTTCAGTCACAACCAAATCACCCTCTTGCCATTTGTGCTCCGTCACCACAGAGCGCATATCCCGTCCATCTTCCCTAAAACGAACCTCCTCCACACCTGAATCTTCGGAAACCATGCCCTTGGGACTACCATCATCCACTTCTATCACCTCCTTACCTTTTTCCCCAAACCTAATGCTAGCTAACGCTGAATTCTTCGCCCTTTCGTAATTTTCACTCAGCGTGTTGCCCATATCATTAACAATCTCTTCCTTGCGATCATAATAACTACTACTGGCATTCAAGCTCGATTTCATTCTATTAAAGGTAGGAAAATCAAACTTACGGGATCTACACGGCGCGTGAACCTCCCTACGCCCCAGTGGCTTGGCTTCAGGATATTTGGAAATTCTGGAAACGATACTACTCGAGGATAACACAGTGTGCGGGTGGTTGCCGGATGTTGCCGACAGTCTGAGCCTTTTGGAATTGGGAGATGGAAGGTGGTGACCCACGGAGAGCCAATGCTGGCGGCGCTTGCCGTTGCTAGTTACGACGGCCATCGGAGAACAAGCATGTCCAGTGGGGGTTGGGAGAATTGGGGATTGGCCGAAACCCTGGAGGAAAAAGGAAATGAAGAGAAACGTTGCCTTAGGGTTTATGAGAGCGGCATAGAAGAGAGTGAGAAGGTGGAATTGAGAAATGAGGTAAACGGAATTGGGTGGAAGAGTTTGAGCGCGAGAAATTGAAAGGTGAAAGGTATGAAGAGATGAGAAGAGAAATTGGAGTGGGGAGTGAAAGATGGTCTGGATCTGTGGGTGATTGGCGATTCACCTCCGCCGCCTGTTCCGCCGAGGATGACCTTTTCTCTTTCTTCTCTTTTTCGCCGCACAAACAACAACTTTCTTCCCAGATTTTACTCTTTAATTAAATATTTATCTCTTTTATCTTCCACAAGTTAACTTTAATCTATATGAAGACCCACTTAGAATCAAGTCAATGATATTTATTTTGACATTTTTTTTAATTATTCTGCCCCAGTCTGATTTTTTTATTAAGCTTAAAATGCATCAGTATAATAAATATATATATATATATATATAATATTATAAAAAATCTAGATTAAATTTTTTTTTCTTAGAATTAATCGATAAAATGGCTCCCTCAAAATATATATATGACTGAAAAAATTAATGCTATTATATAGAGTGATGAAGAAAATAGTTCCATGCATACTCTACATACACAAATTTATCAAAAATTACTGGTTTTACCACTTGGCTATTAAACTATGTATTAGTAAAAAGTTCGTAAATTAAGAGTTTTTTTTTTTTTACAAATACATAATTGTAAAAAGAAAAAAAAATCAAGTTCTTCAAATTAAAAATAATTTATATAGAAATTAATTTATAAAAATATCTGTTATGTGGTTTTTCTAAAATAAAAAAAAATGTTTGAGAGACTTGATGGAGTTACACTACATGACCAAAGAGAGGGACAAGAGTAAAAATATCTAATTTTAATTATAATAAATAAAAAGGCGCATTATATAGTAAAAGTATTTAAGTAGATTTATTGTTTTGTAACTTACAATATGTTTTATGTACTCACCCAGTTAATGTTAATTTGAGGTAACAGTAACATTCCTTTTAAAGCATTTTAAAAGCATCAAAGATTAAATGAATTAAATTATTTGAAAGATAAAATATTAATGTAAATAAATTTATCATAGTTATCTATGATTACATAAAGAGGATATGCATGTCTTGTGTTGATTTTCTAATTTTACCTTTTTATTATTATTTTTTAAATTTAAATAATTCATGATAAAAAACTATTTTTCAGTATTATAATTTTAGTAATTACTTTTTTGATTTAAATAATTACTCATTATAAAATAATAATTTATTCTTTTATCATTTTAATAATTACTCATAATGAAAAATATTTACAGAATATTACTTATAATATTTTTTATTACAAAAACTAAAATTTAATTTACTTTATCTATAGTTATATTTTCAATTATATATTTATAATTATACATACCTTTTGTTTTTCTAATTATATCCTTTTAATTATTATTTTTAAAATTTAAATGATTTATTAATATTTATAAATATGTACAAATAGGCAATAGTATCTGTATTTATGCATATATTATTAAGAATACCATCTATAATAAAAGTTGATCGGTATAATTAAGAATATTTAAATTATACATATATTATTAGAAGTATTGTTATTTATCTAGTTTTGTATCATATATTTAATATTATAGGATATAAAAAGAATCTCCACTAAGTGTATTCATTATGTTTCTTAATATGTATAATTCATCTATGAAGATAAGATTTCATGTCAATATTTTTTTCCTCAATTATTTAAATGTGTTTTTGTGAGATATCATCACTTTAAAAATAGACATTGATGTCTCTCTTATTCTATAGGTATTCTATGTCTACTAACATATATTTTTTTAGTTTGTTTCATATTATGCAACAATTGACGTATGTAATTATTTTTCAACCATTGTCAATATGATATATATATATATATATATATATATATATATATATATATATATATATATATTCTCTTTTCTATTGTAGTTATTCACCAGCGGACTTTGTTTTCAACTTAACATAAAAAATACATTTATATAATGTAAGTTTAGATGAAGAAGTTTATAATCTTAGAAACATGTGATTGTATTAAAGTTTATAATACTTTGTTTTCAATTTATAATATTATCTTAGAAACATGTGATTGTATCACATCTTAATTTTTTGTTTGATTTTTACTGTTTTTTCTCTACTCTATTTTTAAAATGATTGATTTTGATATTTTAAAATATATCAATAGTTTTATAATATATCAATATTAATGTATTTTCGCAACACAACACCCAAAACCCCTCCGCGAATTCAATTTCAGTTTCATCTCGAGGTCTTCTTTTCTTTCTCATAGTTTAACAAAACTGAAAAGTAAAAATATTCAGATAATAATTAACCGTTTACACCGAATAAACTTTTAATAACTAATGACTTGTGATGGTTAGTTTGTCATATATAGTTAGGGAAGGACAGATGAGTTTGCATCAAATAAAATTTAATAACTAATAACTTATCACATTTAATGAGGAAGGATCACTACATCGAATGAAATATAATAGTTAATAACTTGTCAAAGTTAGTGAAGAATAGGCAAGAAACAAACTAAATTATTCGGAGGTTACTGAATACTTACGTGTAAATTTTTGGATTTGGGGATTTTTGCATAAATATTAAATTAATTTTGTTTACACATAAGTCAAACATATAATTTAAGTAACTCGTTTTTTACAATTGCGATTATTTACATATTGAAAGCTAAAGGAGGAGCAGTATGATCTTTTGAAGATCTTAACTTCATGTATGTTTGAATTTTTTTTGGGAAAAGTAACTGAGTTAAAGTCTATAAAAATTTGTTATAAATTAATTGAAATTTGAGATCAAATTTGTTGGTTAAAACTTTGGTCTCATATTTATACTGAAATCTTAATTTTGTCATCATATTCTGAATAGTCTCATTTAGTTTTTTTTTAAAAATATGTAACAAATAAACCCAAATTGTTAAGATTATGTAAATAGTTAACATAATGCACAGTGGGTATGGTGATGTGAATTATTTTATTAAATGGAATTATATATTGGTTAATTGCACAACTTTATTAGCACAAGAATGGGGGATTTGGTGCACAATGACCATGGTTAATTTGGGATTTGAAGACCAATAGAAAACTAACAGACGAATACAACTAGGGATTTGGAAACCTTAATGAAAGAAGTAAAGAATGATATTTTCAACCGACATTTAATATTCATCGGTGATCGAATGTTGATAGGAGTTAAGGTGAGTTTAATTTGGTGGGTGGTTGGGTGTTGCGTTTATGAAAAAGGGAAAAAATACAAGTAATCATAAGATATAGAGGTACAATGCAGGAATTGGGAAAAAATTGGAAATCCCTCAAGATGTCAAGTATTGACAAGGGAGAGGGCTTCAATTAAGTCTTGGGGTTTAATAAATTTGTTTGTTGTTTATTTGAGTGGATTTGAAGGTAAGTGAGAGTGGATTTGGAAATAAATTTTTTTAATCTGTCAAATTCTACATTAATTCTCACAAATGTTGCTTCCAAATTCACTCTCACTTACCTCCAAATTCATTCAAATAAACAACAAAAAAATGTATATTTAAATTCACTCAATCATTCTCTCCCAAATCCATTTAAGTGAACAAAGGGTCAGGTTTTATTTCACAATACCTAAACATGCAAAACTCACAATAGTAAAACATCATCCAATTTCAAATTTTCAAGAGAAAACGAAAGAAAAAAAAAACCTATGAATGCTAACAATTAACTAGTTGAGAAAATGGACATTCGTTCTGCAATGAGAAAATAAACCAATCTTTAAAGGTTAGGATAAAGAAACCAATCACTTAAAAGGGATGAGTGAACATAAAAATTACTGAAATTATTCAACCACATAACACGTCATTTACTAAATATTATAGTTTATTACGTTTTGACGTTGTTTATGTCAAATTAACAAAAAAGATTTATTTACTGCACATTTAAAAAAAAATTCAATCGAGACTACTTAAAATCTTGTAATCAAATTAAAATTCTAGTATAAAAATGAGGTTTTAACCAATTTTGTTTGCTAGAATTGAATAAAATTTTTTAATTTGAATTAAACTCAATTTGGGTTTTTGTTTTAAAGTAATTAAAACTTAAGGTGAATTTGATTTACCATATTTGAACCAAAAAAGAAAACATATCAACACAAAGTTAGTGTTCAATGAAAAGATGTTTAGTATTTTGTTAAGTGAAATCCAAACAAGTCATCCTTTATCATAGTCGGAAGACAATGGTTATTGTTAGTCCGTAGACAAAATAAATAGACATTACAAAAAAGACCCATTTTATTTTTACAGGAAAAAAGGACATCTAATACTGCAAACATCTTGATGTGTTGCTTGCTTATACGAAGAAAGAGAAAGCAATGCTAAATGGTGTATAGTACAATGATCCCATGCTATTCATACAATGGCACACAGCTTCACAGTTCTCAATATTTATCATGTACAATGAAGCTTTCACCATCGTCCGTCTCCTAACACCAACACGGGAGAAAAAAGGTTAACGTTTTACAAAAGAAAAGGCTGACCAGTAATTTTCCTATCACAACAAACAGCCATTCGCGTTTTCAGCTATGGAGTGCAAGAGCTTTATGCCTGTACTGTTTTCATACAAGCTGCACTACAGCAATTACCCTTAGGGCACCGTTTTGGAGAAGATCGGCAAGCTCATCAAATAGCAGAGCAGTTCGCCAACCCCATCCCTTGGGATATTTAGGTAGAAGTGTGCCTGTTTGTTTAAAGCTTCCAAACACCATCATTTCCCTCTTGGATGGGACAGACAACTGAATGAGAAAAACAGGACAATCCCAGAATAGTTAATCAAAATGGTAGAAAGTCATGAAGCACCAGAATATCAATGTGTTATTCATGACTGATATTACCTGGTAGCGTGCAGTCACCTTTTCACGTGAGTCAACATACATGTGCACCTGATAATGCATTTCAAAGATATGAAAGTCAGATATAGCATCTAATTGAAGATCTATAATTGAAGCCACGGGGAAATCAGCTAGTAAGTATACTACATGTCAGGCCATATAATCAATCGTTTAAAAACAAAACGAAATATAAAGACATTAAACTACTGCTAAAGGCATTAAGCTTTTCAAGATTAACAGCATAATCTAATTCCAATCTATATTTAGGCCCAACTCATTCAAATACTAAAAACTGATCAGCTAACCTTTCTATGTATATCGGTTATCTCTGCTTTTCGACGATGAAGAAACAG